CTAGGTGATGGCGATCACTAAGAGTAACAAGCACGAACTCTCACTTGACCACGCGAAGCCTAATGAGAAGATGGATGCACACTTGTCTACTCTTGATTCACTAATGAGGTTTCACTCTTGGATTCTCAAATCACAAACACCTCACTAGGACCTTGCTCTTCTTGGCACTCACAAACGTGTTTCTCAGCTGTTGGAATGAGCAAAAGTGACTCCACACACGAGTGGAGCTTCTATTTATAAGGCAGCCTGAAAAACGAACCGTTATGAGCTTCTGCGGGATGACCGGACGCTCCGATCATATTGACCGGACGCTCCGGTCAGTTCAACCCGCGCAACAGTTTCCAAGTGATGACCGGACGCTGACAGGGTCCGGTCAGCACTGATCGGACGCGTCCGGTTGATCTTGGATGCTTACTGTAAACGACCGGACGCTGGATACTCAGGGTCCGGTCACCACTGACCGGACGCGTCCGGTCACACTTTCTCAAATCTGGACCCTTACTGGAGTCGACCGGACGCTGGCCTTCAGCGTCCGGTCACACGACCTTCCAGCGTCCGATCACTCCAGACTTGTTCTCCACATTCAAATGAACTGACCGAACCCTGCGGCTAGCGTCCGGTCAGTATTTGACCCTCCATTCACTTCCAACTCTCGATCATATGTGAATGAAGTTAGCTCCAAAGGATCTTAGGCATTCATAGGAGCTACCTAGGGCTAGTTTTAACAAGTGTGCACCACACCTAACTCACTAGACTCAACTAGGTCAAGCTACCCGTTCATACCCCCCTTCATAGTACGGCCAAAGGAAAAACAAAGTCCTAAACTACTCTAAGTGTCTCTCTAACTTCAATTGACACTTAGAACTAGTTATCCTTAACCTTGTCGTCCATCCTTTGAAAACCGAAACGATTTCCATCGTAGGGGCATGACAACCTCAATTGCCCAATCGATCTCCATTACCATGACCTAACTTAATTGCCTCTGCAAAACATACGTTAGTCATAGTAATCTTGTATTGACATTAATCACCGAAATCCACTTAGGGGCCTAGATGCTTTCAGGGGGTTATGTAGACTTTTTCCTATCATAAATAGTAATACATTTTGTATAAGTTTGGTCAAACTTTAAAAAGTTTGACTCATTGGGACTCAAGATGTGTGTTTATTTTGGGACGAAGAGAGTACATGTAAAATGAAAATCACCCTCGGTACAAATCCTAAATAGCCAAAATGATTGCATGAATACAGGCATTGAGAAAGTGTGGAACATTTTCATGCCTCGTTTGATAATAAGTTGTGAACAATTTTGTTAGGAGAGTGGATTTTACAGGACACGGGCACTGCCCAACCTTTGGTATTCCTCTCTGCTTGATTTGGTGGATTCGTGATCGAACGGTTTGTTGATTACATCGTCGTCGTTGGTGATCTATTTGGCCGGTTTGCATCTCCTCACATTTTTGCCGGCGGAAAAGATTATTGCTTGCACTAGATTTAGCTTACACTAGGTCTTAGGCAACACAACTTAAGTCAGCAAAATTATATGTAAATGTAATGTGTTAGGGTTGAATTGTCAATTTGTCATGTATATGTGACCGGATGATGTTTTGTTATTTGCATTATGCTGTATATATATGGTCACTTTCATATTTTAGTAGAGTTGTGGAAGACAAAAGTATCCCATCCCAATTAGAGCATCTCCAATAAATTACTTATCTCATCTGAACACAAAAAATATGCAATATATTTGATGCACAGCATCGGAAAGCTGGTTGCCAAGGCGCTGGCCACTCGCCTGGCACCGCGCCTGTCTGCCTTATCAAGCACAACCAAAGCGCCTTCATCCGGGGAAGGTCCATTCACGACAACTTCATGGCAGTTCAGCTCGCCTGTCGCTGGCTTTATAGCCGTCGCTGCCCTGCCGTCCTCATGAAGATCGACATCACCAAGGCATTCGATTCAGTCTCTTGGGAGTTTCTTATCCAGCTCCTCACATTCATCGGCTTTCCAGCAAGGTGGACCGAATGGATCGCCATACTTCTATCCATGGCCATAACGAGAGTCGTGGTGAACGGGAGGCCGGGCAGGAAAAATTGCCACGCGTGCGGTTTACGGCAGGGCGACCCACCCTCGCCTATGTTGTTCGTCGTCGTCATGGACATGCTCAACAACATGATCTCGGCCGCGGACAGACAAAGCGTGCTCCTATCCCTACCATCGCAATGATAAAAAACCGTGCCTCCTTCTATGCGGATGATTTGGTCGTATTTCTCTCACCCACGGAGGCTGACTTGAGGTGCATATGGGCCATCCTCGACCTTTTCGTTGACGCCTCGGGACTCGTCACGAATATGGACAAGTGTTCGATTTCTCCTATCCGCTTCTCGGACGCAGACATGATCGCCGTTCTGGAGGCATTCCCGGGACAGCTTGCCCCCTTTCCGTGCACGTACCTGGGAATCCCGCTAACTCTGCTGAAAACTCGTCGAGCCGATGAACAACCGTTGATTGACAAAGTGGCAGCCAGGATCCCCACCTAGAAGGCGGGACTACTCAACGACGCGGGCCGTGCAACACTGACCAAGGTCACCCTTTCAGCCATTCCCGTTCATGTCTCCATCGCCACTGGTCTCTCCGCCTGGGCGCTGAGGCAGCTTGATAAGCGGCATCGCGTGTTTCTTTGGGCTGGAACAGAAGCCGTAGCTGGGGAAGTGCAGAGTAGCCTGGCGGACAGTGAACGCACCCACGTGCTATGGAAGGTTAGGCGTCCCGGACCTGAAACTCATTGGCTTCGCCCTACATCTGTGTTGGGAATCGCTGCGTCACGTCTGGCCTGAGCTGGGCTGGTGCGGCCTTCCTAGGAGGAAGGAACGTGAGGTCCAGTGCATGTTCCAATCATTCGTCACGGTTGCCATTGGAGACGAGCAGTTGGCTCGGTTCTGGACCGACTCATGGCTTCCTAACGGGCCAATCTGTCTTTCTGCTCCTCACTTGTTCGCCGCCATTGGCAGGCGACACCGTTAGAAATCAGTGCGAGAAGCTATCACCAACAGAAGCTGGGTCCGTGACATCCAAGGCGCACCCACCGCCGAAGTCCTATGTGATTACGTCGTTGTATGGGAAAAGGTCGCCGGGGTGGTTTTCGACGACCTCACAAGCGATAGGTTCATCTGGCGCTGGACAACAGACGGGACATACTATGCCTCTTCTGCATACAGAGCCTTCTTCCTCGGAATGACACCCCTTAGAGGCGCAAAGGAGCTATGGAAAGCTCGGGCTCCGGCCAAGTGCAAGTTCTTTCTTTTGGTTGCTGCTGCACGATCGACTTTGGATTGCGGCGAGAAGGAAGCGTCGCGGATTGCAGGACGATGATGTGTGTGCACTCTGTGACCAGGAGCAGGAGATGGTGCAACACCTGGTGGGAGGTTGTGTGTTCGCCAGAGAAGTGTGGTACAGGGTGCTAGCACCCATCAACTTTGATCATCTCGCGCCACAACCCGGGACATCATTTCTCGATTGGTGGTTGCAGAGCCGAGACCAGCTCAGAATGGTGCGTCGCAAAGGTTTCGACTCTCTCATAATTCTAGGAGCGTGGTGTCTCTGGAAGGAGCGGAATCGAAGAGTATTTGACAGACTGCTGTCGCGGTTGCTATCACTATTGAAGAGGAAGCGGATCGCTGGTCTCAGGCGGGGTACTGCCACCTCGCCGCGTTATGAGCGATTACAGACAACGGTTGATCCTCGACTGCCCAAATCGTCGCAAATTTTTCTTTTATGTAATATCAGTTTAGTTGCGCCGTTACTAGTTGCATGGTTAACTCTGTTTGGCCATAGTGTGCCACTCGCATCCTAGGCCAACTGGCGTTTACCTTTGTAACAAGTCCTTTTCCTACTTAATGATATACATGCTAAGCATGGTTGTGAAAAAAGGGGTTATGGTTGCCCCAACAGATTACTCATCTTATCCACAATATTATAAGTTTTAGGTACTCCTTCCATCCTGAATTATAAGGTATGCAAGTGATTTTAGGATATATTATGTAGTAAGACAAATGACGGTGTAACCTTTCCCAATTACCATATTTGGGTTGGTAATAGATATTAATGGTAGGTATGCATGTGAATATTGTCTTTTAGAGTGTTTGCTCACCTAACAAATTTTGAACTCTCGTATTTCAGGATGGAGGGAGTAGTTACTTAAAATCCACCCCTCTTCCTCAGATGTAGAAGATCCACCCCCTCTCAATCCACTTTAAAGGTATTGGTTATCTGCTAGGGGAGAAAGAATTAGCTACACTACTAATATTAGATCACCTATATAGATTTTTAGGAGATGTGGGATAACTAATCGAAACTTAGACCGACTTTTAGGATCAACCAACTATCTTTTTCCGGCAAGTTTGTGTGAGATGACTAAAAAGGTCAGTTGGAGTCCCAAATTTACAATCGTTCTCTAACCAAACACAACCTATTTTAGATTTTTAGGAGATGTGGGATAACTAATCGAAACTTAGATCGACTTTTAGGATCAACCAACTATCTTTTCCGCCGGCAAGAAGGTGAAGAGATGGACTACTAAAGGTCAGTTGGAGTCCCAAATATACAATTTTCTCTAACCAAACACAACCTATTTTAGATTAAGCTACCATCGACGACGATGGAGTATTGGTAGCTGCGCTGATGGATTTTGATGCTGTTTCAAAGTTCAAACCATCATGCTTGAGGGAAAATAACAACTTGTGCTACGCTAACAAATGGCATAGATTTGGACGATGGTACTAGGCGCTTGCATTGAATCTTTCGTTTTTTTAACCATCACTGGAGCATTTGACACGAAGAATTAATAGACGAATTACATAGACCGCATTTGCCAAACTAAAAACGGCTACAAAGATCAAATAATCAACTATGAGTATAGTCACATTCACATCTCATAGTGTAATAGCAATGGCATACACTACTGAACTCCATCATCTACAGAAAATGTACTAGCAGTGGACTCGTTATTTCATTGCCAATGATGTTGTCGATGCCTCGGCTATCAATGAGAGAGGTTGGCGAGCTTGAAGGCAGGCAACGATGTCAAATGGGTGCAACTCAGCTCCATCAAATATCAGATTGACTCCTGGTAAGGCCACATCCTTGGTGTTGGCATCCTCATGATCCGGTTTCGCTGGTGTGGTTGGTTGCTCTTCAGAGACCGATCTTGTCGCAGCCTCGTACACGGGAGTGAGTGCGTATGACCTATATAGAGATCCAAAAGCATCAAAACGAGTCAACAAAATTAGGATTGCAAGAATCTTACCCGAACTATTCATATAGCACAAGTTCAATGGTGTCCTTCAGTCCGAATAAGAAAATATATACCTCAGGATGCTCCCATCAAAGCTCAGAACTTCGGTGAAGCATCTCTGTCGTCTTGCTGGTTTTGCTCTGTCGTGTTCAGCAGGGGGACTGGAATGAGTGGGCGTAGACGGATCATGGAATGGACTCCATCTACCACTGACAATTTGCACTAGTTTGCGTGGGGAGTTGTTCTTTGAGCCTCCCCGCTGATTAAATAGCCTTGCTGTTGGACCAGTTGCTTGATACTCGGTGCACAGTTCTCTTAGCCTCTTCCTCACATTCTGCATTGTCTCATAATGTTCAGTGATATCATCCTTTTGAAGCATTTGTGACTCAACAACCCTTTCGCAGATCTTTTCACATAACTGTGGACTAAACAAAGGGATGCCAAATTCTATCGTCAAAGGCACCCATTCAAAACTTTCATCCTCGGGAGTTTCGTGGGATTCATTTACCTTGTGAAGCCTTAGTAATCGGAGGTACCCAACTGTGCTCAACTCAACTTTACTGGACAAGTCTTCTAATAACAAAATCAAATTTGAGACTTGTTTCTCCGGCAAGTCAGTGCCTACTATTGTGGATGAGATTGACCCATCGGCATTTTTCAATGGCAACGGGACATCCATGGTGATAATGTTTCCTGTTTCATCAAGATCATCTATGCTTAATGGCTGCACTATCACAGCAGAATGTTTTGTCATTGAGTTCAAGTAATGCAAAAGAAGGCTTCCTTTCACTAAGTTCCCTTCAAAATTGCCCCCTAGTCCACCCACCACAGATTGATCCCAAGACCATATCAGTGCCTTCTCACAGCTGGCTAATGGTTCAGGCAGCAACCTCAATCGCTGCCCCTTCATAAAAACGGCAGATATTGGGCCACAGGTCCCTGATGTATACAATGCCAATTTCATCCAAGGTGTCATTGAAGAGTAAGAAGGTGGACCAAAATGTACTAGACCAGATGGGCAGGGTAGAACCGACGAAGATGGAAGAGGTATCATAGACACTACAATGTCGTAGTCCCTAGCGAGTAGTCTTTCTAGTGTTGATGGGCCCAGAGAAGCTAAGCTCTCACAGCGAAGAATGTTGACTCGATAACTTCTTTTACGCTTCAACAATGGACCGCTACCAGTTGAATCACCCAGCTTTGTGGCCTGAATGTTGTCAAAATCGTGTTTGAGTATGTTTTCCTTGCCTTCAGATACAATAGATGAAGATGGTGATGCATTCACATCTGCGGCATCAGAATCACCCATTTTGTTATCCTGTGGTGATAACTCATCCTGTTGACCACCATCAGAAGATTCCGAAATTTGAATTGAGTTCACAATAGCATCATCAACACCGTCATTTTCTTTGTTTTCCTTAGTAGAAGTGGTATCTAAATCGTCCTGCATAGAGCTCTCCTGATTATTTGCTTCACTGGTCAGGTCACTTGTTTCATTTGAAGTTCCGCCAGACAACAAACACTCAAGGAAGCATCGAAGGCTAAAAGCATGATTTGCAAATTCCTGCAGCACACCTTCAAACCGTTTTCCCTCTAAACTGGCTAGATCATTGCATAAATCAGCAATACAAGAATCACCAAGTTTTCCTGCCTCATATAGTGTTACAGCATGCGACTTTAAACCTGCAACAGATTAGTGAGGAAGGGTTTGTCCATTATGCCACTTTATAGAAAAGTTTCGTGGAGCTGTGTAAGCATCATTTAAAAATAGACAACTATACTGTCAATTAGAAAATTTACGCACATCTCATTGGATATCAGTTATATCGCATAGATTTCTGCTTAAAAACGTAAAATATCTACTAGGAAATTGCAAGGGAATCTAACCTGGAGACAGTGAACCCATCATTAAGTATGAAGTTACATTAGCATCCACAATGAAGCCCACATAAGCCATCCCAGAGTGTTTCTTGTGTCCATCAGAATCATTACTAAGCAACTCATGACTAGACTTTTCTGAGGCGATACTCGTACGTGAACTTTCAACTTCATCACTAAGAATATTATTGGACAATGCAGGAGTGCTTGAATCCCTAAGAACAGAGTCGGTATCTAAAAGCTTTACAGCCCATCCTAGTCGACAAGCAAATGATGCAGCTGCCTGGAGCTGATAAAGGTCAGCCTGTAAAGTTGTAGCCAATTCAGCAACCGTAGCATTTTCACTTGATACAACGAATACAGCATATAGCAGCCTGCAGTATAAAAAATCGTACACTGATTTTAACAGCTACAGAAAAATCTAGCAATTGACTACAGCTAAATAGGGAATGTAGTTCATTACAGTTTCACAGAAGACTACTGAAGGAAACTACTCACTCTTCAATTGGATCTTCATAGGACTGATCCTTGTTTGAAACAAAACCTTCAAGCCTGGAAACTGAAGCGATGGTATGAATTCAAAACTGAAGCATCCCAAATAGATGGTTGACTAGAAGAAATCAGAGACCTAAGGTGTTTATGGTCGAAATATTCCTTTTTAGAGAGCAGGATAGATTCAAGCTTCTTCCTGACATTTTCTTTAGCAAAAAAAAAAAAGGCAACTATGCGGATGAATCTGGGCCCACGAGGCAATGATTTTAAAATGGGCCCAAGTTATGAAATCCTATAGAATTAAACAATGACAAAGCTTGTTGAAGCTGCATACCTCTAAAACGATCATCAGGATAAACAGGGACATCGAAGTATACCATCCCTCTCTTGTAAAGGCCGCGTACAACCTCCGGGTCAAATAGAACATATGAATTGACTTCCTCCTTACATATTTTGTCTATTGCCGATGTCTCATCTTCTGAAAGCTTCTACAGTACAGTAGCGCATCAGTTCCCACTAGTGCAAGGTATTAATGTATTATTATCTTCCATTGAGAACAAACAATGCATACTTTACATGATAGAAATGACAGCATTGTATTTTTTTTCCTGTCAAATTGCAATGTCCTTACTCAACAAAAATAAAAATCAACATAGATGGATCTAACCTTAAATTCTTCCAATGTGAAGTTGACAAATCGAACGCCCCACCATGGTTCTATTGCTAAATCTGTGGGTTCTGCTGGCAACAACTCTTTCGCAATTGATTTGTTCAGTTTCCACATTATCTTCTGAAATATCCAAAAATGGAAAGGTTATTTTTTGTAACAGGAGAAAACATGAAAAGAGTTGTTTTCATTATGCTCTCTTTACTTCCATTCAGGAAATAACCTAAGTGTGTCCTTTCCTACATCACAGCAATACTACACATTCATTCCAATGGCAACAACAATGTTAATGAAAGGCCATGGTACAGTTGAAAAATACCTTTGATCTGCACTTATTCATGATATCAATAAATTCGTTTCTTCCTACACCAGTAATCCTAAGAGCATCTGCAGCACTGAAGTTTGGAATACTGTCGTATGGTTGCTCTGCCAATATATAAACAAGTCAGAACAAAAAAACTATTGTTTGCAAATTATAGACCACTTAAATTATTCTGAGTCAAACTTATCTAACATTGGTCAGATTTATATACAACAACATCTACAACATGAAACTAGTGTCCTTAAATTCTCCATGAAATATGTCTTACATAGTGCATTTATTTGAACTTGTACATGCTAATATATTTTAAAAAAACTTAGTTGAAGTTAAGAAATTTTGCTTAGAACAAAGATAAAGTGAGCTAAAATTTGGAACCGAGTATTAATACGAAGGATCAAAGAACAGGTGCACAATAATCTCCATCATATAAATGTTTTAAAAGTGAGAAGTACATATTATCAAGCCTAATCAGACTTTTCTAATCTCCAGGATGAGCAGAAATCAATTACAATAGGACATATACAAGAAATAAAACTTATTAGCAGGTGCAAAGATTATGTAGGTTCTTGAAGAAACGATATTTGCGACTTATATCATTCCTTTGTTACTTTTTCATGGTGGAAAATATTGAAATAACTTATTAATTAACGTTTTAGACATGATGACAGGTGAACTAATCAAGTGGAATGCGATGGCAAAAATGTTTTATTTATATAACAAGTGGTTACCATTCTTCATAGCTTCGAAAAGGACATCACAGTAATATCTGAAGGGTGATATCCTCATTACTCGGCATATATAGTCTGCAAGATGGTATGGATATAACTGCAAAAATATTGTTCCAAGGCAGTCATGATATAAATGTTTTACAAAAGTATGCAAGCCTAAGAATATTAATAAAAGAATCGTGTTACATGAGCAACCTTCAGTCATAGTATTTAGCATTTTGAAGAAAAAAGTACGGAAACAAGCAGAATAAAATCGTTTATGATCCTTTTGAAGCCTCGCTAGGAACTCTGCTATTCAGTATAAGTTTCAGTTATTTATAGAAGTAGCATATAAACAAGATGTCAGCAAAACAGGATACAACTTTTTCTCTTTTCTGCGGGCCATCATAAAATTGTTGAGTAATTAAGGAAGAAGAAACATATGGACAACATACTGCAAGGTTTTTACGGAGATAGAGCATCAGGTCCTCATAATAGTCCCCTTCTTTGCATACTTTTCGGGCAAAACAGGAGCTCCAAGGCAACCTTTTACGTATACAATAATCCACAATCCTGTGGCAATGTTTGTATAATAAATCAGGATATCAAACATGTGGCAACTAAATGAGACGCTGTGAAATCAAAAGGTTGCTCATTATACAATAGGGATGATGGCTTTGAGTTTTGTATTTGAACTATGTTCTCCAACAAATTCGGTATTCATGAAACTATATGGTCTAGATATTAACTATGTTTATTTATATTTTCACCATGTCTGTTGTCTTTTGCTCTTTTTTTTTAGGTAAAAAACCCATTACATTTTTAATCACACATATGATACTTCTAATTTTCTTCGTATTTTTAACAGATATAAACGGCAACTATCAGTAATATAATGAAGTATTTTCTGTTGGCATTAGACAAACACAACCCTTGCCACCCTCCTGGCCTTTAACTAAAAACGTAAACCTAAAATTACCAAGAAAAGAATTCCATGTAAATAAGCCTAAAATGGACACCAATTCATGGAGTGAAAGCCCAAATTCGATGAATTGTTATACTGGGGTTAGTTTTTTTTTTCCTAGTATGCAGGATCATTCAGGATGGATAAATTGATTCTCGGGGTTTGATCTGACGCAGGCACGTACCTACGGTGCCATTCCTCCTTGGAGACGAGCGCTGCCTGGATGCGCTTGGGGAGGGCTTCCCACGGCGACTCCTCCCTGATGGCCTTCACCATCATCTGCTCCTCCACCGTCGCCGCCATCTGCTGCTGCATTCTCCTCCTCCGCTCTCGACCTACCTGCTTCCCTGAATGTTTTTTTTCTCTCGATCGAGCAATGCGAGCGGCGCGGCCGGCTCGGATCCCACCCAATTCTGATGAGAGAGAGAGAGAGAGAGAGAGAGAGACCCAGGCGGACGCACTCGAGAGAGAGAGCTGAGAGAGAGAGCCGCGAGTTCCTCCACGACGGAAGGTTTTTATTTGGGACATCAGGACATGCACACGCGTGCTATTTGATTTTGGTATGCATGGTTACGAGGCTATCCATGGTAGGAGTACACACCTTAATACTCCAATCTGTCCTAATAAAATATAAAATATTCAAACAATTTTAGGATTAAGGTAATAAGATATAGGACTAGTTAGTACTAGTTAGGCTAAAAATTAACTCAAACTTGCTAAGGTTAGCTAGTTATTTGGCTAACGGCTAATTGAAGATTTGGCTAAAAAATAGAACATCTATTTGCTCTCCTGTTTAAATACACTAGGGCTAATTTTAGCTAATTTTTAGCTAGCTAGCAATTAGCTCTTGTATCAAATAGACTCTAAATAAAGAGACTAACAAAAGACTAACATAATTTGCTCCTAACTAATTAGTCAATTATGTTGTTAACTTGCTAAATTTATTAGTAATAAACAGTTTAAAAAGGTAGGCGTGCAATGTCATTGATTTTTCAGATATTAATTACATAAGTTATTTGGAGCAAGATGGTGTTTAAAAAGCATGCATACGATGGAGTTCAAAAGGCAAATATATGTAGATAGAGTTGAACAACATAAGATACCTTATAATTCGTGATAAATTTTAAACATTTGATATATTGTATTTTTGGACAAAGAGCCTTTATAATTTAAGATAATTTTTAAACTTTTGATACCTTGCATTTTAGGATCGAGGACGTATGCAAGGAATCATATTCCAAAACAGTAGTGCATTTCAAATACCTGTGCATGCCGGTATGAAAAAAAGGGTATGGTTTCATGAATTTCAAATGCTTATATGTCATAAACGGTATATCAGGTTTTCGCGATAGATTCATATCCACCCAATCTTACATATTTATTATCAGCAAGATAATATCCATATTACCTAATGTAAATTTTTGTAAGTGGTGTGGACTCCTGAGTGAAAGATTTTGTCCCAGATGATACCAGAAAAAAAAAAGAGAAACAAAAAAAATCGGATCAGACTTGACAATAGCATTGTAACGTGGTACGGGCCACCTGATTTGCAAGTGCGTTTCAGAAGTGGGTCAGAAAATGTGGAAAATTAAAGTGATCTGAGCATCTAATGGGCCGCGAGCCCATGATGCACCAGAATTGATTGAGATCAGCTCACCAGCGCTCGGCATCTCCCCTAAAATAAAAGAAAACAGCGCTCGGCATCCACTCAAAAAAAAAACAGCGCTCGGCAACATATCTAGTTGCAGTCGCATACAAAACGCATACTATTTATATTCCTTATATGTTTTTCCAATAAAATAAATAATACACTACATGGGTTATTGTACAAGGTGCAATAGTGCACGCACTCTACCTCTATGATCCTCCGAAAGATAAAATTCAGCTGATAGATCTCGAGGTTAACGAAGTTACAATCGCATACACGAAATATTTATATTTTCCCACTAATGCACTGTGGACTAGGGGCTATTGTACAATGCGTGCATGACTACACACTCTATCCTTACGAAGAACCTTTGAAAGGCAAAGTTGAGTAAGTAGATTTCGAGATTGACGAAGTAACCGTCAAATTCTAGAATAAATCTAGATAAATTCGAGCACCCACGTCAAATCCAGAGCTTAAATCTGAATAAATAGATTGTAGAACAAGAAATCTAACCAGCTAAGCTATGCTCAATTTGTTGATCAAGCCCATCTAACCTAAGATGTTTATTGTTTTCAACAAAGAGCAGAACAGAGAGCAGCGGCGGCTCGGCGCGCATGTAAAATGAAACATGGAGAGGGGAAAAATGACATGTTATATAGAAATTAATTCTAGCTTCATGAAAGGCATTGTGATAGATTCACAAGAGAGAAAAATAGCTAATAAAAGGTGTTCTAGCATATAAAGTTGTTCCAAACTATCGACAAAAATTAATGAGATTAGATAAAAAAAGGTTAAAGCTTCAGAAAAAAAATGTTTCGGCTTAATTATATTAACCTTGGTTGATTTAGTACATATATTAAGTATCGTGGGAAAAATATATGGTGCAAAGATACAAGCTATTTAAAAATGTATTTTTGTCATTCAAAAATTTTGAAACTTTGTAGTACATCCACAGTACATTCATGTATGTAGTCACATGTAAAACTTGAGATGCAAGCTCGAACTAAAAAAATTCAAATGAAAATAACAAATTTCATATATATTTGCACTACATGACAAAAAAAACTAAGATTTTTTTTCTTATAGTGTACATGAATATGAAATTTGTCATTTTCGTATGAAGTTTTCTAGTTTGAGTTTTCATCTCAACTTTTACATGTGAGTACATGTATGGATGCAGTATGGATGTACGAAGTTTTAATTTTTGTTGAGTGACCAAAATACATTTTTTAAAAAATAGTTTGCTTGTTTGCACCATATATTTCCAAGTATCGGTGATGTTATTTGGCAAAAAAAAAAGTACCGGTGATGTTAAACCATATGTACGTGCTCGTTGATTCGGCAATTGGATTTATGGAAATGTTAGTTAGCATGAGTCTGCTGGAGCCAGGCGTTTGCATCCGGGAGCTGGCGGTGTTTATCAGACTGACTGACTGACAGAGTTTTGTGAGGCATGCTCACTTTGACTAAAAAAAGTATCTGTCACACTTAATTTTACCTGGTTTCTGCACTAATTCCTTCTACAATATTTTCTTAAAATCATTTCAACTTATGTCATTTTATAATTTTTTGGAATATGCATTCATGCATAATTTGTATGCTTACAACGCCAATAATATAAAAGTGGACTTGCTAGCGCCCAAAGTTCTATCCGGGACGCTAGCGTCGGACTATGCCCGCGCAGCGAGCGAGCGCCCCCAGCAGCATCATACTTGCGAGCGAGCGCCCAACAGTGGGCCCGCGTCACCAGACCTCTCGCGGGGACTGCTTGCGTCCTCTCACTTACCACGCGCATTCCATGTGCAACACCCCGATCTACTTTTGAAACATTCAGATGCAACACTTGCAACATACAAAAAAAAATAGGCGAAACACTTGAAACATGTGTCTGAAACACTTGCAAAATATCTGAAAACACTTGAAAACCATTGCAACTATACACAACATCCAGATAAAAAACTTGCAATTATGTGTGAAAAATATGCAACATCCAAATAAACACACTTGCAACATACGTCTGAAAAAAGATGAAACATTGGGAACAGACATTTGCAACATAAGTGTACAACCATTGCAACATATGCAACATCCTACAATCTCCTTTTGCAACATCCATATGAAACACTTGAAACATATATATCTGAAACAACTGAAACATAGGCTTGCAACATATCTGAAAACTTCTGAAACACTTGAAACACAGCGTCGCCGGTGGGCACGCCCTACCTAGTGGGGAACTGCGGTGGCGCAGGCCTCCCATTCCTGACGACGGCGCGAGGTGGATAGGGGCGAAGCTCGCCTCCCCTGCTTCCCCTTCTGTGACGGGCAAGGTGGATGGGAGCACGGTGTGGGCTCGGAGCAGCCCGAAGGGTCGAGTGTGAAGCCACTGCGCTGGAGAAGGCCATGGCGGGCGGGCCCTGCTATGGAGAAGGCAAGGGCTATTTTTTTAGAAGCCATGGAACACTGAAGTGCGTGGAGTGGAGTGGAGCGAGCGGCGTCGGGCGAATGGACGCTTTCCCAACATTATCGATATAAAAGTTATTTATATGGTTAGTTTTTAAGATAAGATTTAACTAAATGTTGTCCTAAACGATATATTTTTGTGACCGGCGAGTGCACTCAGCAAACACAACTACTCTTTCCATCTTAAAATAAATGCACATCTCGCGTTTCGATGACTCAACTAATTTTTAATTTGATTAGATTTTTAAAAACAGTATCAGCATTTGTACATCCAAATAATTTTACTATAAAAATATGGCATATTATGTAACATAAATATTAGTATTTTTTATTGCAAAATGCGTACTTATTTTATGATGGTGAAAGTACACAAGAAGAGAGACTATAGCCAGGCATCGCTATTGCTGTTCTCACCCCAGTCCGAGGGCAGCTAAATTAAACTCGCCAGTAGCAGCCTCTTCTTCTTCGGTCCAAGCCGAACCCGCGGACACAACCTGACCAAAATTCTGCCGAATCTTACAGCTGGAGCACACGGTCATGCCCTCATTTTCTTTATCAGGTATTCATGTGAGGGTCGTTCCAGCCCGCCCCCGGGGCGGCCTGGACTGGAACCGAGAAAGTGACACGGCAACGTCGCACGGGAGCAGGACAGGACAGGACTACTCCACAGGTTAGGCCGGCCCGACCACCACTTGCATTGTATTGCATGGTGGCTCTCTCCCACCAGACGTCCACGGCAGCGGCAGGCCGGTCACCCGAGAAAAGTCGCTGGAAAAGAGAAGAAGAAAAGACCTCAGGTCTTTTGCCCTGGACCCCGGCTCGCACGCAGCGCATGTTACCGGGGTGGGGGTTGGTTTGGTTGATACCACACACACACACACGAAAACACCGCCCGCTCACCTCACCTGCTGGCCGCTGCTCCGATCGGGAAACAGCGCCAGCCAGCCATCCGTTTGACGCCGACCCGCACCCCGCGCCTTGGGATCGGCTCTGCCGTGCAGCCGTGGTGCTGGTGCGGGGCTGCCGACCAGAGGCTCTCGATCTGGCCAAGGAATCTTATCTGGCCTCGCGCCGGGACTGCCGTGCCGTTGACGCGCGGCGGCTTTTGCAGCCCGGGTCCGGCGGCCTCGCGGGGTTTCTCTTCTATTGCTCGTGACGTGGGCCGTGGCGGCGTCCGGTAGACCGGGACGGCCGGGCAGGCAGT